TTTCTGCTTCAGACGAAGTGTCCGACGTGTTTTTACGCTTTCTTCGAGACATGTCACGTCGCTAAGTTGTTAGCGCCACACGCTAACACGCCAATAGTGCAGCGTAGCCTGCTGGAGGTTTTAAGGGTTCAGATGAAAACACCCGACCTCTCAGGCTGCTCACACATCGATCTTAAGTTGTCGCTGTTGCGCTCACATCGTAATACAGTATTAGATGCGGTTAAAGTCAGACATGAAAAAATAAATAAATTTTACATGAATAAGTGGTGCTTAGCCTGGTGGGGGAGGAAAACCTGGCCTAATAAGCACTGGAGGAAACCCTGTCAAGATCGTCAACACTCGTTTATCTTAATGCTGTTGAAACAGTAAACCAAAAAGCATTATATCCACTGCTACCTTTCTAATTTTAAACTCGGTAACTTATGCTGTAACTTCACCTTGCCCTGCCTGCTCCTCCTTGCTGCCGCCGGCTGTGATCACAAGCGACAACATGGTAGTTCCCGCTGCTTCTTCGGGAAACAAACAAAAACTTGGGATCTTGTCGGCGTGGCGAGCCGCCACGGCTACGCCTATGTAAGGGAAACCCTGCATAGACTTTTGTTCCTTATCATTATTTAAACGAAGATGCTTGTTCCAAACTCAGGAAGTCAGATGTGGCGTTACGTTTTCATGGTGAGGCTCTCAGAGCCAACAGGTGCTCGGACAAAAGCCTCTTTGTTTTAACTCCGTGTGTTAGTTAGCATTTAGCTGGTCCAATCACAGGGCTCCTTTCTCTTCTACATCACACCTCCACTGATCTATTGAGAAAGCCCACTGAGCCACATCCAGATTATAATACGCTCCCAGTGCCGGGAATGTCATATTTCACGCATGAGGAGCCGTTGTGGGACCCACCAGGCCGCTTTATGAACTGTAATGAAGCTAATTTTCAGTCTTTTAGAGACAAAAAGGAACATTTCTGGAATTTAAACAGTAATTAGAAATGTTAATTAGAGTCACTCAAATTTTTCTTGTTAACCTTTCAGGTATTCAGCTCTCTTTGCCTTTCCGTTTTACTTCCTTTGTTCCTCACAGAACTTCTTTGTTGCTCCGTTTTGCCTTCGTCTTTGCTTCGCTTCACATCGACCTTTCTGTCCACTTTCTGCCGCAGTGTAGGAGGAACATCAGAGAGAAAGGAAATCATTACTAGGGTAAAGACAGGGGAACAGCGTGGATGTAGTGGCAATAACTGGAGCAGAAAAACTCAATAAAACCGAGCAGAACCTAACAGAACGCTGGGTCGCCATAAGTCACCGGATCATTGACAGGAAATGACTCGACGGGAAAGCAATCGAAAGGATGATCCACCCAAATTATATTCACTTAATGCAACAAGCAGGAAGAGCTGCAGATGGAAATCTGTTCCTTTTTATGAATGAAATTCACCAATAATGTTTAATTCTGTTTGATAAAAAAACTTGTTAATTGAGAGCATTGTGTAGTCCTAATAATTTAAAAGGATAATATCAATATCATAGCAAATACTAATAAAACTTATCTTTTTATTTAAAGTTCCCCAATAATTTTTTTGTTTAGTTTTTGTTTTTCCGTTAGATTCAGTTCATGATTTAAACCTCTACAGCCTGAAATAATAAATAATAATGAAACTGAACCATTTATCAGCCAATAATTGTAATAATTTTTGTTGTCTAACAGTAACAGTAATACATAAAATTGGCCCTTTCCACCTGCAGATCCCCCACCAGGGGGCAGCGGGCATGTTTAGGACTGGATATTGCAGGTTTCTGATGAAGGTACTAATCCTGATGTTCCATCTGGAGGCTTTAAAGTGACCGAGTGTATTTTCCCAGGCAATAGAGGGCAGTACGTACCTTAATCTCCGCAAGCAAGCTGTATTTTTGTGTTTTGAGTACAATCTTACCAACGGATGGCCATTAGGGTCAAAAATCCCTGGGAGCGCATTTCATTATAAATGCTATTTTCTGCCCATCCTGTGATCCAGGATTACAAAGGTTGTCTGAAGTGAGTCTCACAGATGCTTGTAAAAGGTTTAGCAGATTAGTTTCTTTTCTTTGCATAATCTTTCCTGTTCTTATACATCACATTTGAAAGTGAAATATCTTTAGCTGCTTTGCATCCCTCTGAGTCTCAAATGCAAATCGTTCTTTCCTTCGTGTTTGGTTTTGGTCTTGAAGCACAGCTGAATGGATGACATAAAACGACCACCTGTGTTACATAAACCTTTAAAATGCAGTAGGACTCGTGTCAGGATGATTAAAATCCTTTAAACATTCGGTGATTGTTTATCTTCTGTTTGACTTGTAAGAGCCAGCTTTTGATTACTTTCCAAGATATTGGAATTTTTTTCAGCAATGGATCAGCTTCTTTTCAAACCACATCAGTTTTATTTATTTAGCATTTTTTTAATAACAGAAAGAATGACGAGAAGACCAGCAGTCCCTTTGAGCTGCATTTGCAAAATGATTTAGCTCTCTAAATGCAACAAAAATAAAACAAAAGGTTTTAATTAACATGCAAATAATGGCATAAATGCATAGAGAGGTGCTCAGGTGCATCATGGGACGTCTCCAGACGCCCAGACCAGTTTATTGAATGGTTCTGGGCCACCTCAGTCACTTTTAACACAAACTTTGACAGTAAAACAATAAAAAAATCAAAGTTCACAGGCAATACTATGTTTACACATTACAACATGCTTGTCTTGTACAGTTAAGTAATAGCACCTACTCTGAGTTTTAAAAAAGAAAGGCCCTAAAAGGAGTCATTTACTAAACCACATGCAGTTCCTGTGGTGTGGAAAACAACAAAAGGGGGATTTCCTTCAGTAAGGTTTACAGTCCAAACCAGCTTTTATCAGGGTTTAACAGGTTTGTCTGTTTATTAAGTTAACCAAGATGTTTTAGGCTGAAAAATAACGAGAAATACTGCAGAGTGTCATCTGCATACTAAAGGAAGTTTATGAAAGCTTTTAATTGCACTGAAAAAAATTATAGAAAAATGAAAAGTAGTGATCCAAACACAAAGCCCTGGGGAACTCCAAAACTATTTCTGATGAAAACCGTATTTTTTATACGGAAAAACTACAATCTGTCAGTTATGATTTTAACTAGGTGTGTTGATATTCTGTTTTGTTGTTGAAGGTCATTTTAGCTCTGATTTAAATCGTTGCATACGTAAAAAAAACTTCTGTGTTTTTTGTGTGTAAACCCATGCATGTGATAAATCAACTTGTAAGGGATTGTAAAATATGCATCAGCGTTAACCTCAGTGGATAAATCATCATGTTTTTATAATGAAATGAATTGTTTCCGTCCTCTCGTCTCTTTCTGCGAAACACTGTTGTCTTTGTTTCTTGTGGCTCTTTGCAGCTTTCATCAGAGCATAAAAATCTTTTTGTCTCTGCCGTCCTTTCATAAGGTGTTGGACTGGGGTGACGTGTGCCAAGTGGTCACAGCAGACATAATACGGTCTTCTGTCTTGGTTTCCAGCGTGGGCAATCAGAATCCTTGTGGGTCGTATAGATTATTCAATCTCTAAACAGATGAACTCACAATAATGCATTTGCATAGATATACATAGATATTAGCACTTAGCTTCTTGATTACTTACAGAAGAATTATTGATTTATTTAGCAAAAAGTGTGATACTAGCATGAGCAAAAAATGACGATACACAACATTTTCACGTGTTTTAAAAGTTAGGGTCGTGGATTGAAGCTAACCTTTAGGAAGTGGGCAGTTGACCATATAAGGTAAATGACACGAGGCTCAGAAATATTACAAAGGTTATAAAACTTTTCCTGCTAAATATGAGATAATTCTTTAATAAGTTATATTCCAGAAAACATCCGTCTGGGTTTGTTGATGTTGGGCTCCCTCTAATATGAAGAGTCTCCTCCATTACGCACAGTAGTGTCCTGTTATGGTCATACATGTAAGAAAAGTGGAATGTAACGTGGACGTTAAAGCTACAACAGAACCCCCCACAGGCTGGTTTCAGTACATTGTTTAGGCCATGCCCCCTCCATGACAACTTTGAAAACCCCTCCAGATCAAGTTCTCATTTAGTTGCACAATTCTGCCCTCGAATGTTCCTGACTAAGTCTAATATTTAGTTTTTTAGGGATGTCCGATATTGTCGACCGATACTGGCATCAGAATGCATCGGAAATTATCAAAGTCAGTTTTTACTCTTTTCATGACACTTTTTTAAAAAATTACTTTTTATTTATTATTTATACACAAACACAGTAAAGAATAAAAGGTCATTAACAGTAACAAAAACAAAATTCAGTGGTATCAACTATCATGGGGTCCATTTGGAGTCTCAGCCTAAAAGTCAGCTCTTCCATTTTTCAGTCACAATCTGCTTCCATTGATTTATTCCTGCTGGGTTTGGTTTAGCCAGTTCCTGGTGACGGCTTTCTTCACAGTCATTATTTTAAAGATGAAGATGTCTGGAATCAGGCCAGGACATAGCACCCGAGGATCCCTGGGGAGTACACATTGAAGGAGCTCCTCTATGGACCCAATAACTTCAGACCAAAAGGGGTGTAACTGGTCCCATGACCAGAACACATGTAGGGCTTTTACATTGATGTCTCCACAGCCCCTCCAACATTGCTGTACCTCTTTAGTCTGTTTATTTTTTCTATGGGGGTGTGTTACTAAATTCTTCCATCTATATTCTCTCCAGGATCTAGAGCTCGTAGAGCTAGAATGTGTCTTACACTTCAAACGCCCGTCATTCTCCAAAATCTCAGCTTGTATTTATGTATTTACATCAAACTCTTCAGCTATTTATCCTCTCAATCAAAAAGTCTAAATATGACCGACCCGAGGTATAGCTTAGAGATATTTTATCTAGAAAACAGACAGGCAGGCAGACAGTGCTTTGGCTCTTTCAAAGTAAAGTTGGTGTATTTTGTATTTTTCCGGCGACGTTCTTCACTGAGCTGGTTATTGTTTCTGTTTGTGTAGAGAAGGACTACGGCAGCCTGTGTGAGCGGCAGCCCATCGGACGGTTACTCTTCCGACAGTTCTGTGAGACCCAGCCCGAGCTGAGGCGCTGTGTGAAGTTCCTGGACGCCGTGGTGAGAAGAGTTCCTCAGTGTGCTCTGGGAGCGTTTTTCTGTTTTAAAACAAGATCACAATCATGGGGAGCATCGGGAACGTTAAACTGTGTCTTTAGTTTCCGTGGAATGCTCCTCTTTCCTAATAAAACAAAAACAGAGGGTTAGTGTGACAGAAATGTGTTTCCCGTGGTGTTCCCACCTTATCTGGTGCAGAGGAGGAAGTAGTAGGACAGAAAGACTTTATGAAAGAGGAGACGCTTCACATGAGACACACATCCACCTTGGACATGTGAATGACACACACACACACACACACACACACACACACACACACACACACACACACACACATACACACACACACACACACACACACACACCCTCAAACTGTTGAATTTGAAATAAAATAGTTTATTTTGCCTTTTAGTTGTTTTAAAACAATTTTAGTTCCATTTTTTGTGGGGTTTTTTGTGTTTCTTTGGGGTCGTCTCTGAGTTTTTCTGTTTCTGTTTTTGGCCCCATGGGATGTATTTATGTAATTTGGTGGCTTTTTGTTATGACTTGTTGCTGTTTTAGCATTCGTTTAGTTTTGTTTTTAGCATTTGTTTTCTTTTTAGCATTCATTTTGTTTCTAGCATTTGTTTTCTTTTTAGCATTCATTTTGTTTTTAGCATTTGTTTTGTTTTTAGCATTCATTTTGTTTCTAGCATTTGTTTTGTTTTTAGCATTTGTTTTGTTTTTAGCATTCATTTTGTTTTTAGCATTTGTTTTGTTTTTAGCATTCGTTTAGATTTGTTTTTAGCATTCATTTTGTTTCTAGCATTTGTTTTGTTTTTAGCATTCATTTTGTTTTTAGCATTTGTTTTGTTTTTAGCATTCGTTTAGATTTGTTTTTAGCATTTGTTTAGTTTTTAGCATTCATTTTGTTTTTAGCATTTGTTTTGTTTTTAGCATTTGTTTTGTTTTTAGCATTCATTTTGTTTTTAGCATTTGTTTTGTTTTTAGCATTCGTTTTGTTTTTAGCATTCGTTTTGTTTTTAGCATTTGTTTTGTTTTTAGCATTCATTTTGTTTCTAGCATTTGTTTTGTTTTTAGCATTCATTTTGTTTTTAGCATTTGTTTTGTTTTTAGCATTCGTTTAGATTTGTTTTTAGCATTTGTTTAGTTTTTAGCATTCATTTTGTTTTTAGCATTTGTTTTGTTTTTAGCATTCATTTTGTTTTTAGCATTTGTTTTGTTTTTAGCATTTGTTTTGTTTTTAGCATTCGTTTTGTTTTTAGCATTCATTTTGTTTTTAGCATTTGTTTTGTTTTTAGCATTTGTTTTGTTTTTAGCATTCGTTTTGTTTTTAGCATTTGTTTTGTGATTGTGCTTGTTGATGTTATTCCTTATTGACTACTTCCAAAGTAAGGGTCATAATGTTTTTGCCTGTGTTCTGATATCCCACTGGTCGGGTCTAATGAAGCATTGAATCAGTGATGACAGGATGACTGTCTAGACCTGGTTAAAGATGGCCACCACAGTGAGGCGTTCATCACAGAAACTCTTAAGACAAACAGATTGAATTTCATCAAGAGTAAAATTTTCATATTTGACCAAAACATCTTTGAATCAATCGTTTCTTTTTTGTTTCAGTTTAAAATTCTGCCATGAAAAGTTATTTAAAAAGATTTTTGAAACACTTCCCTCTAAATATGAATTTCCCAGCAGCCCACCAAAAAGCCTGGCTCGAGTTAGAACAACATCTCTGATGCTTGTTCAGCTTTTGTCTCCACGAGCTCCTGGTGGACATCTTTACCTCCTGAGGTTGACATTTTGAATAATAAACTTTATGTTTTAGAATAAAAAACACCTCGCTCTCAAACCATTACAAACGCCATGCGGTCGAGAGTAAAGCCTTCTGGTGTTTATGTTTTTGACACAGGAAGTTAAATGATCCTGAATCACCTGCATGAATCACTGGAAGCCTGCAGAGATCACGAGGAAGTTGAGCTTAATGTCTGTTTATTAAAACGCAGGAACTGGAAACGTCCGACTGCGTCAGAGACTCATCCTCTTGGACCTCCCAGGCTGTAGGAACCAAACCTGATACCAGAGTCCGGCTCGGACCCTGAACCCAAATGTAGACCCTCCCTGACCTTCACACGGTTTTAGGAGGTCCTCGTTTTCACGTAGAACTGCTGACTCAGCGTTCTGCCCCTTTATAGGACGCTTACTTCCTCTTATAGTGGAAAGTTGTCACACACACACACACACACACACACACACACACACACACACACACACACACACACACACACACACACACACACACACACACACACACACACACACACACACACACACACACACACACGACTCAGGTTTTAAGTCATTAACAAAAATTGCCCAAACGAACCTTCTGTTGATGCTGGAGGTGACTCATCGTGTTTATCTTTCATCCTTTCAGGACCAAAATGTTTGTACAGTTTTACAACGGTCCATCCAGTAGTTGACACAATTATTTAAAAATTTTTCTCCATTTCTGAGGTTAGCTGAGGTTTCTGGAGGTAGAGTGGCTCTGTTACGCATTAAGGTAGATATCAGAGCGAACCAGTGCTTTCAGAGGGTCTGAAAGCAAAGTTTAAAGATTAAAAATGATAAGATATCCAAGAGCCAGCTTTATGTGTTCATGGAAAAATTCCTTTCTGGGAGTTTTGGTGAAGTATTTCTTCAGGCAAAAACATTATAGCCTCCTTGTTTTTCCACATTTTTGTTCAAAATGCCAACAGTTCTTTTTTATTTACGCCAAAGAAATTATAGATCAAAAAACGTTTCCTCCTTCGTTCAACACGACAGTCATTTCTCTGGTGGAAACACTAATATTTCATCACCAGCAAGTGGTTTGTTTATTTATTTATTTGTTTACTTTTCTGTTTCAGGCAGAGTACGAGGTGACTCCAGACGAGAGGAGGAAGGACTGCGGTCACGAACTCATCAATAAATACTTCAACCCAAAGGTAGCCACTGACTCAGGTCTCTAAAATAACTGAATATACCGTAAATCCTCTAATATTGGCCTGTATTCAATTAACGGCCGGGTATCACATTTTGGCCGGTGTCGGAGTCGGCAGAGGTGAATAATGGCCGGTTTTTTATTGTGGCCGGGTGGAATGTGGTAACAAGCAAGTACCACAGGGGGGCGGTTGTGTCATCCGTCTCACTTTTGATTTGCCAGTGATAGACCGCGAGGGTAACTTTAACCGTGCAGAGACGAGGAGGAGGCGAAAATTTGATATCAAGTTCAAAGAGAACGTGCTGATTATGCTGCAGAACATTCTGGGGAGCAGTAGCAGGGGTTGTATGAACTAGTCAACTTCACTGTAGTGACTTGTTATGCCTGTCATCGACTAGTCGCTGTCACGTGATAATGACCGGCAAGATGCAGTCCTCGGAAAAGACAGCAGCCTGCTGTCAGCAGGTGACAAGCTCCTGCGTGTCGGGAGGCAACGCGCTGTGCCAGAGCGTCGGTACTGACACCCGCCGTAAAACGGACATTTAACCAAATTGTGACCTTTACCCTCTTGCAATTTAACCTTCCCCTCACCCCCATCCTCACCTTAACCAGCTTGCACATGCAAAGCTGTGATTTTTGACGCGCTCCAGACATCTGCGTCCTGAGCACGGCCACAGTAACATAATCAGGTGTCGCCACCTCAAAAACTAATTTAACACGCGATCGTTCATGTCGGCTCATTTCCTTTTATGTTTTCTGTCTTTTATTCTTTTATTTGTGCCTGATGCGTTTCGCTGCTGTGGATCGGAGAGCATCACCTGTTTTGTCCTCGGTGACGCACCTCACTGATGTGGCCAGGAGCACACCAGTGTTTTTGCGGTCGGTAGATCTTTTAGAACTGCAGTTCAAAGGTAACTCATAAGGTGAATATATATGAACCCAGGTAGCAGTTTTTCTTTAGGATTGAGAGGAGATGCAGGAAGATAATAAACAGGCAGGACAGAAAAATAGTCAAATAAAAACAAGTTAGTTTTTGTACCTGGTGGTTGCAACAAACAGACACCATTGAAGGTAATCAGAAGTGAGGAACAGAAAATGAAATAATTATTTTAATGTTTAGAGCAGCAGGAACTCTGAGAGGCTGCAGGCGCATCAGTGAGTTTGCGGCCGCTGCGCAGGGGGAGGGGGGAGAGGGCTGAAGCAGAAACTACCGTTGTTAAAAGAAATGTGTTTAACTTTGAAAATGTGGGCACAATTTTAATTGTCAAAAACTCCAGCGAACCATTAGTTCATTTTGCTCAAATAGAAATTGAGGCCTGCCTCTAATTCTGGTCCTCCTTCCAATAAAGGCCTGGAGCTTGATGAGCTCGAGTCAAATACAGGCCCGGGCTTGTATTAGAGGATTTAAGGTAATAAAATACAATAAAACATGATTAGAAAATCCACCAAAATCCTCAGGCAGAATAAAATGATTTATTTCTGCACATTCGTATAACATCTTTAATATATTTTACCAACTAGAATATGTTTAATGTGTTTGTATTTGATATAATTAGATATTAATATGTTTATAACCATGTTATGTCTTCCCTGCATCAATAATTTTACTTTTACTTTGATCTTTTGTTTGTTTTAGAACACAATGAATATGAACTGAAAACCAGATTTTTGAACAAAAGCAGAAAGAAAATCAAAAGTCTGAAAGGATCTGAAATAAAACCCCAACCATCACAGTGGATTCGATCAGATTAAACCAAGTTTTACATCATCTCAGATTATCCAGTTTTGCTCAAACTTGAAACTAAAAACTGGGAGAGAATATAATTATATATATCCATCCATCTGTCCGTCCGTCCGTCCGTCCATCCATCCATCCATCCATCCATCCGTTTTCATCTGCTTATCCAGAGTCGGGTCGCGGGGGCAGTAGCCTAAGGCGAGAGGCCCAGACTTCCCTCTCCCCAGCCACTTGGGCCAGCTCCTCTGGGGGAATCCCAAGGTGTTCCCTGGCCAGGTGAGAGACATAGTCCCTCCACCGTGTCCTGGGTCTACCTTTAGATCTCCCCCCAGTTGGATGTGCCCGGAAAACCTCACTAGGGAGGCGTCCAGGAGGCATCCTGACCAGATGCCCGAGCCACCTCAACTGGCTCCTCTCGATGTGGAGGAGCAGCAAATCTACTCCGAGCCCCTCCCGGATGACTGAGCTTCTCACCCTATCTCTAAGGGAGAGCCCAGCCACTCTTCGGAGAAAACTCATTTCGGCCGCTTGTATCCACAATCTTGTTCTTTTGGTCACTACCCAAAGCTCATGACTATAGGTGAGGGTAGGAACATAGATCGACCGGTATATAGAGCTGATGTTCTTCAGGCAGACAAGATCAAATAAAACATGTAGGGCATAAAGGTATATGTCAGCCATCGGTTCTGCAAGCTGACCCTCTTAAAAAGATGAGTTTTTATAAGTTCACTTCAAAGACTTTATTTTGGTTTCATCGATCACATGGCATCCTCCCAGTCCTCGTCTGGATCATCCAGATGGTCTCTGGAAACCAGCAGCGTTACTATGGTAACCTTTTGTTACTGCGGTCCAGCTCTCCTCAGGTCGGTGACACACAGGTGCTCACATGGTGCTCTCATAAGTATGGACTTGGGCACGTTCAACACAGGTCTTAAGGCTGTGGTTGGCACTTGATGCACTGTGATTTATTATCGTGTGATTATTCAGTTAAACAATGTTGATTTTATATTTCTCCATCAAGTTGTCGCAGTGATAGCTTGCTCCTGATGTATTGTTGTTGTCCCTTTTTTTTCTTCTTCTCTCTTTCTGCAGGTCTATAAGCAGACTCTTGTTCATTATTGTTTATTTTTACACTACACTACACACTAAAATGTAAATCAGTGTTGTTAGTAATGAAACCTATATGTGAATATACCACAGTGGGAATCAGAGATTAGTAGATGAAACGAAGCATAAAATGGACTCAAAACAGTTCCAAAATGTTTAAAATTTGCAAAAATGATCAAAATCACTAGAAATTGAAAAATAAAAGATAATTTAATTTGGAGCTAACAAAACAGTCAGTGGACTTACTCACTGTTAACTGCTATGAACTCAGTCATATATCCATAGAAAACCCACAGCATAACCACAGCAGACTCAACCAAGTCTGTATGTTACGTTTAGACATTAATTCAAACCACGCACACACATACACACAACAGAACTTGTGAGACTTGAAACAGAAAACTAAGTGAGAGCGGACAGAAAATTCACCCCCCTTTTGAGTCGATTCGATTTTGGCCATCAGAGTTATGGGTTGTAATATCATCCAAATGAGTGGAAACCTTGTGCGATTTGATCTGGTTCCTGTGGACCCACTTATGGACTGGATCTTTGTTTCCTTCAGTGGTCTTGAGCTGATACACAACCGGAGAGAGTTTTTCAGTTGTTACGTATGGACCTGACCACTTCGGCTAAAGTTTCTTAGCTAGTTTACCAGAGGTGACTTTCTTGTGACCAGAATTAGGAGTAAAGATGCAGAACCAGGCCTCATCACCCACATTGAGTTCAGAATGTGAGGCTTTCTGATCATAATTAGCCTTCCTGCCCTCAGCTGATTTCTCCAGATTTGTCTGTGCAAAAGAAAACGCTGCAGGCAGATGGTTCTTCAGGTCCTGCAAATACTGCTTGCTAGTGTAAGCCGGAGCGGCACTGGGCTGAACTGACTGATACAGCTGGTGAAGCGGCAGGGTCATCATCATTTCATTAGTACACGCCATTGTAGGGTAAATTTTAACACAAATCTTTAGTGTGGACAGGCGGTAGTTAGTCATCAGTAAATCTGGGCGTTCTCGGAGCGTGATACCTGAAGAGCGCCCAGGTTCATACGGTCGCGTTAGAGGAGGCTGTGGAGGAAGTTTCGCTGCGCTGGACATCAGACAGACACACGCAACTAGCAAAAGATACTTTTTCAGTCCTGAAAACTGAAACAAAGAACGTTTAAGACTGTAGACTGGCGCAGGTGTGGCCTTGCGAGGGCTTGGCGTAGGTGAGCGCTCTGGAGGGCCCTCTGTCGATGCGCAGGTGCAGTCAGAGAGATCAGGGTCAGCCAGTAGTGGTACAGGGAGACAGTCAATCCCCCCTTTGGTAGTGAGCCACCAACCTCAGGGCTAGAGGTCACCAGCGTGTGCTGTAGTGGAGCAGGGTCAGTGATGCCGTCAGCCCCCCCTTCGGCAGGTGGTATCCCCACCGCAAGGTACTGGGCTTCAGCCGGAGTCTCAGCTGGAGTGCCACAGCAACTGTCAACCTCATCTGGAGCAGGTGGTTTTCCCATCCCCTGGTGAAGTGATCCTGCTGCAGAGACGACAAAGACTGTGTGGGTATCACTGACGTTGGAGGCTGTGGACAGACTGGTCACTGACGGCGCCGTTGTAGTTAACAACACCTAAAGAGGGAATGACATGAACACAAAAGAGAGCACAGAGCTCAGGAACGGAATCAAGCTTGACAGAAGACGGCAAAGGAGCTGTCGGATCATAAAGGTACAGGATCATCCTGCTGATAGCAGGGTCCTGGAACTGGAGACTGACAAGGTCGTTTTCAGAAAAGACAGGTTAAACAGACACAAAACCATCGGACGGTCGAGGAGTGGACGCGTTAGCGGCCTGAGCTCGAGTCACGACACACACATTGGGTGGGTCTGACTGAGAGGACACATCGTCAGGGAGCCACAAGGGGTTGAATGACCATGGGGTACCAACAGCTGCACCTTGTTTGGCCAGAGAGTCTGCAAGATTGTTCAGATCCTTATCAGTTCCAGGTGCACGAGAATGACCTTTGACCTTACGCCAATATATCTGCATGTCATTTCATGTTGCTAGGGCATCACAAGCCATGAAAATGTCTTGATGTTTAACGGGCTTCTGGTTAGAGGTTAAGAACCCGTTACTTTTCCAAGAAGGTAGATGACAAGTGAAACTGAGACGCGCGTAGTCCGAGTCTCTGTAGATCACCAGCTTGCGGACACCACGGTCAGCAGCAAGTTGTAGCACTATCAAGATCCCAGCCACTTCTGCAAACTGTGAGGTCTTAGGACCCAGTTGGTAACACCAAGTGTCTTTCCAGTTAGCTTGTAACCAAACAACGCCCACACCTGAACTAGGTTCAGCACCGTGTCGAAAGGAACTGCCATCAACGTACACAGTTGGCAGATCCACACAGAGAGCTTGGTCAAAGTAGTGGTGGTTGGGGTTCAGGAGGGTCTGGGGAGGGTTAGCTGGTAGGACCTACGCAACAGCGTCATCCAAGCAATGCTGGCACGCAGCCAGACCCATGCCAAGAGGACTACGGTGGTTTTGCGCATAGCGTACCTCAATGTCGAAGCTCTGAAGAGAAAGCAGCCATGACGCAATGCGTGCATTTGTCACCACACCATCTGTGATGCGTTGACGGTTAAGGAAGGTCACTAGCTGATGTGGAGTTTCAATGACGATTTTCTGTCCACCAATGTAGCTGGAAAAGTGTTTCACCGCCCACATGGTGGAACGAAAAGCTTTTTCACAGTCAAAGTAACTCAGGACCGGACAAGAGCTTACTAGCATAGGCTACGACACGCCTGTCGCAGTCATATACCGCATAGAGACCGGCACTCAGGCAGTTAGATGAGAACCCGACCTCAAGGTGGAACTCTTTGTCACAATCAGGAAGCGTCAGGCACGGAGCTGAGCATAGTGCGGCCTTCAGGTCATCCATGGCCTGTAGCTGCTGCACAGTCCATTCGAAAGGCACATCCTTTTTCAGAAGGGCAGTCAGAGGTCTCGCCACCTCAGCGTAGTTTTCTACGAACTGGCGAGAATAGTTGCACACACCTAGAAAACTCCAAAGTTCAGAGACATTCGTAGGAGGTTTGATGGTGGCCACTGCTTGAATTCTGCCATGTTGAGGCTGCACTCCCTGTGATCCCACAAGGAGGCCAACAAACTGAACCTTTGACCTGCACCACTGACCTTTGGCGAGAGAAATCTTTGCACCAGCAGCTGCGAGCTGACCCATGACGTGGTCCAGCTCGGACAGGTGGTCATCCAAGGTATGCTCACGAACAAGAATTTCGTCGACATAGATGAGGGTACGTCGCTCTCGAGCATCAGGGCAGGCTTTGTACAAGAAGATGTTCAACTCAGATGGTGAGTTGGAGTACAAGGAGTCGGCTGAAAGAGAGTATTTGTATTTTAACAGAAGTTGACGTAGCTTGTCTCGTTCAACTTTATTGGTAAGAGCATCGGCTTGGTCCACGACCTGTTCAATGTGGGAGAAAACATCGAGGGCGGCTCTGATGGGAGCTGAGTTTGTGGAGGTGGAGGCTCTGAGCTTGGCAGGGAGCATGTGATTTCCCCATGCTCAGGGTCACCAACCGCAAAACAGTGGAGGTCAAGGTCAGGAGGCAAAACGATGGGCATGGGTTCTCCAACACCCGACCAAAGATCCCCCCTTTCCAGATTGATAAAAGCTTCAAAGCGCTTCAAAAGGTCAACGCCGAGGATCACAGGCATGGCACCGCGCTCACAGATTGTACACGGGGTGCGTCAAAGTCAGAGGGCCAATCGTGAAGTGGAGAAGTGACCTGGTTTAAACAAACTGTGTACCCGAAGAAGGATATGAGGTTTTCCTGCTGAAGGCCACATCCTGTTACAGAACCGTCTGATTCGGTCTGCAGGACAAGAACCCGAACCATAGAACCTGCTTATCAACAAAAGAACACTAATGAAACATGATTTATTCAAGGGGAAAACATTGTGCAATTCCCACTTTTGAACTTGGATGATTAAAGTTAACTAGGGTTGTCACGGTATGAAAATTTAACCTCACGGTTATTGTGACCAAAATTATCACGGTTTTCGGTATTATCGCGGTATTTTTTAAACGGTTTTGCATATGTTCAGAAAGCATTGATAGTCCTGTTCTACACAAACTGAAATCGTTCTGAAAAGGTTTAACAGTGTTTATTAAACCTAAAATAACACAAAGCCTTAGCAAAAGTGCAACTTTTCACAAGTAAAGGAACAAATAGCTTCTTTTTCTGGAACATGTTACAGTAGTCAGTGCAGGTTTAAATTATACAAATCCAAACATTCAAAACATAAACAATATGTAAACAAATCAAAGAAACACCACTTGTTTTCTCATATACTTGTTTTCTTCATTATCAAAATGAAAATCTAAAACTCCAGTCCACACTTGACTTGAGCACTGTACAAGTCAACCTTAAAAAATATGTATTTAAAATAAATAGCCACTTTAAACAAATTACTAAAATAACTACTACACTATGTAATCAAATCCAAATGTTCAAGTATAAATGGCATTGAATAAGTAAACAAATCAATGACAAGGAACTAATTGTATATTTCTCTTCATCATCAACAAATAAGATGCTTCATCCAGCAACAGGGTGTCCGTGACACGGTTTAAATGCTGGCAGAGGACGCTGCGGCTGCAGTATGTAGTGACTCGTTGCATTCTCCCTCAGCCAAAAGTCCTCACGTCATGCATTTAAGCTAAAATGCTCATGTTGACTTACCTTGCACTGGCTGTAGAGACGTGGGTGATGGTCACGCAGATGTGCCATTAGATTCGAAGTGTTACCTTTTGCAGACACTTGTTTCCTGCACGTTCTGCAAACGGGATAGCCGTCTTCTATTAACTGTCCCTCAGCATTTTTCAGAAATCCAAAATATGCCCATACTTCCGATTTAGTCTTCTTTGAGGGCTGATGGATGTCCTGGGCGCTGCCGTCTCCTCCTTCGGCCATTATTTCAGCTTCAAAGTTTTGGTGCCGTTGCAAACTAAAAAGTGCGTGTGCGCGCCGCGGGAACTTCAGCTGAAGCGACGGTGGCTGGTAAGGGTCACCGCGCCAAAACCGCGGCCACGGTAAACCCACCGAGATAATTTCGTTTTTTAAAAACTGGACGGTTATTTTTATTGTCAACTTTTTTACCGGGGTTTACCGCTATACCGGTTACCGTGACAACCCTAGTTGCGACATGATGGAATTATTGTTGTTTTAGTCGAACCTGGAGCACCAGGTCATGTGATCGGAGTCTCATAGAGATGTGAATGACTCAGCGACCAACTTATGAAAGTTCAGCTCAATCATTCCATCTGAGTGAGTTTTAGCTGCTTTTATTGTTGCTGATGTTGATTAGCGATAGCGGCCATCTTGCATTAGAACTGACTACAGATATCTGGCCAATGAGTACCCAAAGGCAAGAACATAATGGTCCAAGTCTTTGTGATTTCAGCCTCTAACCTCCACAGAAACAAGGAACACGTCTAATATGATAACATGACCCTTCACACTGATACATCCTCATGTTTTCTAGTTATCAGATGGATGAACTAACTGAGCTGGCCTGAGTTTATTTACCTTCAGACCTGCTGAACCTCTCTGGGTTTTCTCCTTTTCCTGGATCAAGTTCGAACATGTCTGATAATCAGCAGCTTGCTCCGACCCGTTTGCTGCTTCCATTTGAGTCACCTCTGTGCTGTTTGTTCCTCGACGCAGTCGGAGGAGGACTACGTGTCTGAGGTGGAGGAGGCCATGATGACTCGGTGTGCCGAGAGGTTGCAGCTGGAAGCCTGCAAAGAGCTCTTCAAGGACTGTACCAAGTAAGCTTCCCCGTGTGTGGGTTTGTGTGTGTGTGTGTGTCTGTGGGGGGGGGGGGGGGGGGGGGGGGGTGAATCCTTGTTAGGAATCACATTTTTCCCGATCTGAGTCTTTTGATTTTAAGTGTCTGCTGATAATGAGTCCTGACCCGATACTTCAGCGATGCAAGAAGAGTCCAAGTTGTCCTAAAGCTTTTTAATATTAAATAAACTTAGGACAAAAATGGAGTCACAAAACGGTAGAATGCCAGGGATGAGGTCCTGCCCAAAGAGGGGGAGTTTAAGTATCTCAGGGTCTTGTTCACGAGTGAGGGAAAACTGGAGCGTGAGATCGATAGGTGGATTGGTGCTGCATCTGCAGTGATGCGGGCGTTGTACCGGTCTGTCGTGGTGAAGAGAGAGCTGAGCCGGGAGGCGAAGCTCTCGATTTACCGGTGGATCTACGTTCCTACCTTCACCTATGGTCATGAGCTTTGGGTAGTGACCGAAAGAACGAGATCGCGGATACAAGCGGCTGAAATGAGTTTTCTCCACAGGGTGACTGGGCTCTCCCTTAGAGAAGGGGTTTGAAGCTCGGTCATCCGGGAGGGGCTCGGAGTAGACCTGCTGCTCCTCCACATCGAGAGAAGCCAGTTGAGGTTGCTCGGGCATCTGGTCAGGATGCCTCCTGGACGCCTCCCTGGTGAGGTTTTCCGGGCACGTCCAACTGGGAGGAGACCTAAAGGAAGACCCAGGACATGATGGAGGGACTATGTCTCTCACCTGGCCAGGGAACACCTTGGGATTCCCCCGGAGGAGCTGGCCCAAGTGGCTGGGGAGAGGGAAGTCTGGGCCTCTCGACTTCGGCTGCTGCCCCCGCGATCCGACCCTGGATAAGCGGATGAAAATGGATGGATAAAGTTAGGACAAAATTGGTAATAATCAAGCAGGACCTGGAGGGGACTATGGAATTTGAGGAAGTAAAACAAAAAACAGATTCTATCCTAGAAAATCTGCAACGAGCTGTGGAGGACGGCTTAGAAAACCCTACAGCTGAGTCGGAAAATATAGAGGATCAGATCACAGATTTAGAAAAAACAAGACTAAATCAGAGGAGGAGACCAAATACATCTAGAACTACCTTCATGAAGAGCTGAGATGTTTAGAAGCTGGGGAACTAAATCTCAGAACAAAATCTGAAATTGAAGAAAGAGAGAAACAATCATGAGATTATTCTGGACATCCACCAGGTTATGCAGCAGGACAGAGATAGTTTAGCAAGGATGAAGCAGGACCTGGAGGAATGGACGATGAACGAGAGGAAATCTAAAGAATTGGATCAGGAGGTTGAATTAATCCTCTAGATTTCACAGGAAGAGAGAGAAATTTTAGGAATAATGAAACAGGAGCTGATGGAACACATCATGAAATCTGAGGCAACAGAAAACCTCAGATCAGATCCATCTGGTTCTGAAGGAGGAGAGCAAGCAGACAGAACCGAGTGTGCAGAACTCAGAGGAACCGCCGAGGAACCAAAGGAAAAATCCGATCTGAATGTCCAGGAACTCCATCAGCTTCTGCAGGAGGAGAGAGAACAGATGAGACAGAGCCTCGAGGAAGACCAAATCCTGTTTGGTACATCAGAAGAAGCAGTATTTTAAAAGAGAGGCAGAGAGCTTTGGACGATGAGTTTGAACATCCAAAACTTGAGAAAGAAAATCCGAATGGAGAGAAAATTAATTTTGAGGAAAAGAAAAAACAATCAGATCAGGAAAATGTGGAGGAGAGGGAAGAGGTAGAACGAAGGCTGCAAAGCCTGCAGGAGCAGAAGATGCAGATTCAGGAAATGATACAAGCAGCAAACCTGAACCTAGAAGATAGTAACATGGTTCTTCAATGCCAATGCCAAGTTTATTTATATAGCGCATTTCCAACAATCAGAGATTGCACAAAGTGCTGCACACAGACAAGCAATAAAAATAAAATGGTAAAACACTGAGAAACGTCCAGTAGACTGGCCTAGACTGGGGAACAGAGGGGAGACTTGACCCACTTCAATTTGCCTACCAGCAAAATAAGGGGGTAGAAGATGCAGTGCTTTGTGTATTGAACACGGTCTACAGGCACCTTGATAAAACGGGGACTTGTGTAAGGCTCTTGTTTGCAGACTTTTCTTCAGCCATTAACAAGATGCAGCCCCACATCCTGATTGAAAGACTTGCCAATGTTTTTAATTTGCCCGATCAGCTTCTCTTACTGATTTTGAACTTTCTTACGGGGAGGACCCAGCGGGTGTTGGTTAATGGTCAGATTTCTCTCCCATTAATGTCCAGCACCGGATCTCCTCAGGGATGCGTTCTGTCCCCCCTGTTGTTTATCCTGTACACAGACAGCTGCAGGGTCACTCAGAACAACAGGTTCTTGGTTAAGTTTTCGGACGACACTGTTTTGATGTCCTTACTTTCGGGATCTGAAATAAACCATGGTCCCGCGCTGTCAGATTTTGTAGAATGGTGTGACAGTAACTACCTGGACCTGAACGTAAAAAAACCAAGGATATGATTATTGATTTTAGACGCTCCGCACCACCCCAACTTGGCAGTAGCATCATCCACGGTGAAGTGGTGGAGGTGGTTGAGGAGTACAGATACCTTGGTTCTTGGATTGACAACAAGCTACGGTTTGTCACAAACACGGACTCCATTTTTAAACGAGCTCAGCAGAGAATCTATCTTTTAAGGAAATTGAACTATTTTAACGTGAATAAAAGGATTCTCTGCAACTTTTATAGCTGTTTTATAGAAAGCATTTTAACATTTTCATTGGTTTGTTGGTACAAAGCCTTGTCCATGAAGGACAAAAAGAAGCTGCAGAGCATTGTAAAAATCTGCTCCAAAATTATTGGCGCCAAACAAAGAGACTTACAGTCTCTTTGGGAGGAGAGGGCGCGAAAAAAGGCTAAATGTATCCTTGGTCAGCCCCTCCATGCTCTGCACTCTGAGTTCTCTCTTATGCCCTCAGGACGTCGTTATTATGTACCTTCTCGAAAAACAAACCGCTTTGCCAACTCCTTTGTTCCATCAGCTATTGAACTGCTTAACTCTGAGCCGGGAGGGGTGGCGAAATAACAGCGAAGTATCATCGGCTTTAAGCATGTGCCATTTTTGGAGGGCTGCTGCTCATCCTCTACCCTTCATTTAGGATGTGTTCGGCATGTTGGTAGTGACACACATTGTGTGATTGTGTGATTGTATAAATGGATTGTTTGCTTGGTTGTTTTTATGAGCGAGTTATTCTGTGTGGTAAGCTACAAATTAATTGCCCCATGGGGACCAATAAATTTTTCTGATTCTGATTCTGATTCTGAACAGATAAAAGATGTAGAGAGGATGATCACAAGCTTCTTTTGGGGACATGAGTGTTTAAGAGTTCTGACAGATAAGGAGGGGCCAGATTGTATAGTGCCTTAAAACAGAGCAGTAGCATTTTAAATTGAATCCTGTAAGTGATGGGGAGCCAGTGAAGAGCCTGTAAGACTGGTGTTATGTGATCCCTGCGCCTCCTACCTGTCAGCAAGCGAGCTGCCGCATTCTGAGCCACCTGCAAGCGGTGAACTGACGACTGCTCCAGTCCATGATATAGAGAGTTGCAGTAGTCAAGTCTCGACATGATTAGCAGGTGTATAACCTTTTCAAGTCTTTAACTGCTAAATAGGGCTTGACTTTACTAAGAACACGCAAATGAAGGAACACACTCTGGACCACAGAACTTATGTTAATCAAGCTTAAAATGGCCGTCAATGAAAAAACCCAGATTTCTTGCCTGAGAAAAGGATTCTAAAGGGCCAAATACACTGTTTACCTGTCATGTTCTGTGTCCCCTTGGTCCCCAGCCCCCTCCTGTTCGTCCTCTGCGTTCCCCTCATGTGTCCCCTTGTGCTCTGTGTGTCTCCTTGTGTTCTCCAGCTCCCTCTAGGCTTCCCTCATGTTTCCTCTCCCGTGCAGTTCTTATTGGTTTATATTAGTCCTCCTCACCCCTCTAGTCATTAGTTTTTATCTTTGCCCTCAGTCTTTAGGTTTAGTTATTTAGTGCTTTATAGATTATGGTTTATCTTCCCCTCTGCTTAAGTTCTTCTTCTTGTTGTTTATTGGCGGGTGGGAACCAACTTCTAGGTGCATTTCCGCCACCTTCTGTGTGGGAGTGGGAGTCGCAATAGGGAGAAACTGTTCTAATGAAATTCTATTTATTAAATTTCTAGTCTTTAAAAACTCAATCAGTAATTTATAAACATCTAATCCTCCAATTAATATATTGCTCAAATTGAACTTTTTATTATCTTTCATCTTTAACTGTCTAGATACTATTTTCCTATTCTTTATATATTTGTCACATTTACACAATACATGTTCTACCGTTTCTCTATCCTTTCCACAACCACACATTCCTGTATTATGTTTCCCATCATAAAGAGTGTACTGTTTAAACCCGTATGCCCCATTCTCAGGCCCTGTCCACACGTAGCCGGGGATCTGCCAAAACGTAGATATTTTTCTACGTTTTGGCCTGTCATCCACATGAAAACGGAGTTTTTTCACACGAAAACGGATCTTTTTAAAAACTCCGGCCAAAGTGAAGATCTGCGTTTTCTCCGTTTTGGGTGTCTGCGTGTGGACAGACAAAACCGGAGTTTTAAGGTCCGCAACGTCACTTTCCGTGACAAAAAAATGCTGACATCACGTGTGCGACCTGTGTTTACACTAGCCGACATCATGGATGCCCTCAGAGCTGTGCTCGCTTTATCAATTGTCCAAGCGCTTTTTGCTTGTTTGTGTTTGCAAGCGGAATTACTGCTCCTTGCGGAAGACCACAGACGAAGGACGAGGTTAAGAATGGGGGAAGTACTGCCGCCTACAGGTCTGGCATGTCCTTAACAACGTATTTATCCGGGTACGTGTGGACAGAGTTTGTTTTTAAAACGCGGTGGTGTGGATGCAAGTTTTTGGAGGGGCGGATATTCGTTTTTTAAAAAAAAAACGGCTACGTGTGGACTAGGCCTCAGTCTTGAAATTATCATTTGATTCCTATTACACATTGGAATGCTTTCCATTTTACCCTGCTTAAGTTCTTTCCTCATTTAGTTTATTAATGGCACCTGTCTTCCCTCCAGGCCTCACTCCTCACACCTGTTACCCTGATTGCGCCCCTCTATGTTAAAACCCTGTCTTGTCCCTCAGTGTTTGTTGGTCCATTGTCTTTGTCAGCATTGTTCTGCCCTCCTCTAGAAACTCCAGGTCCTTGCTCATAAATGAGCTTTTGCTTTTGTAATTCAGTTTTCCTAGATTTTTGGCTTGGCTTCCTGCCCTTGGGAATTACTCTTCATCCTAATAAAAGGATTTTCTTCATTTATTCAACGGCTCCTGCCCGAGTTGTCTGGATTTCTGCATTCTGGGTCCAAACCTCCTGCTCTCAACGTGACATAATGGACCAACCAACCATGGATCCAGCAGAACCCTTGGCTACACCAACACCAAGGCACCCAGACAGGTACCTTGGCGCCTGGACACCTGCAGGAGCTTTATCCAAGACTGTGCTCGATGTCTGCCCGGCCTGTCGGCCCCGGAGTTCGATAAAGTGTCCTGCATGGTGCTCTGTTTGGGAGATGGCGCTCTGCAGTGGGCTGCAGATTATTTTGAGGCGCATCCTATAAGAACTGTGTCTTTCTGGGCTTTTGCCAAGAAACTACAAGAGACCTTTGGCCGTGACTCACCTCCATCTACCGCGTGTACCACCACCTCCTCAATGTCTCCTCCATCTGCCCCGAGACCTCATTACCTTCCGGCCACTCTCCCAGCCATTCTTCCAACGGTCAGATCCGGCTTCCTCTCCTGCTCCCTTGTCCCTGTTGGCACCACCTCTTCCCCTAAAGTTATTAACAAAACCCCTAAAACTGTTGAATTCCTGCAGGTGAAAATCCTCAACTGCAAAAATGATAACTGGGATGATAAAAATAATTTCTCAGAAACAAGAGCAGCAAAGTGACTAAATAACAGTAAAAAACCATAATAATGAGCAGTAAATACCTGCTTATATGAATTATGAATGCATTTGTTTGTCATTTTTCTAACCCCTGAAAAACACTAATTCACCTGCAGCATTCACCTTCAGGAAGATTTCTAAACCTCTGTAAGACCTTTTTTCCCCTTATTTCCAATGTTTGGAGGATTTTTCTCCGATTTGTGTTTTACCTTTAAAAAAAGGACAAACTGCAGAATTAAAGATTTTAATAAACCAGAAGATTCTCCAATTAGCTCCTAGCGTGAGTAAATTACAGGATTATTAACTCTGAGATCCTCCGGGGACCGTAACTTCTCTTGTTGGTGATGTTTTCTGTTTTTGTTCCCAGATTGATCCACGACTACCTGAGCGTGGCGCCCTTTGCGGACTACCTCGACAGCATGTACTACAACAGGTTCCTCCAGTGGAAATGGCTGGAGAGGTGAGACTTCCTGTCTTCGTGTGTCTTCTTCAGTCCCACCACAGAACCAGCAGCAACAAGCTCAGAACGTTGCCCCACAGCTTCCTCTTCTCCTCGGGCTCACAGCAACAACTCAAAACACAAGTTTCATGTTGCTTCACTCTGAGGGTTTCTCTTTTGTCAGTGGTTCTCTCCTTAAACGGCCAGGAGAAGGCGAAGGAGAACACTGATCAGGTGATTTTAAATCAAAACGCTAAACGTGTAGGTACCAGTGCTAGCAGCATGGTAGTTGTTATCTCAGATTAGGAAAAATGACTGAAAGATTCATTACCTTAAGCGAAATGAAAAACTCTCCTTCAGGTCGTGGGGATACAATAAGCTACAAAAAAACGTCTGTTATAATTAAAACTAGGGCTGCACAATATATCGAAAAATTATCATCATCGCGATAATAGGACATACAATAGGCCCATCGCAAAGCACGTCTAAAACGGCGATAAATGTTTGGTTCAAACATTTCCATCCGTGTCATACATCAACTTTTTGTAAACCAGCTCTGTTTTTTACGCAGAAGTATTATTTGACCAATCAAATGTAGCCCTTCTGACATGCAGCCAATCAGATGGGTCCGTTCACGTAATACGCACGCCCCCTACGTAGACCCTTACCCCAAAATTCCACTATCTCCGCTCCGCTCCCGCTTTCCGCTGCCGCTCGCTTCCCTTGTTCGTTATGCTGGCTCAGATTAACGAACGCACTTTGTGCTGAGGTTTCGGGAATCAGCGCTGCTTTCAAACGTGAACGTGAGTCCGCTCTGGGTCGTTAAGCAGCTGATGGTAACCGGGCTGACTCTGACACGTGCCGTTGAACCAACCCACCAACCTCCATGTCGCTAGTGTTCCACTGGGTGGTGATGTTAGCCCCAGGCTCCGGTTAGCTTCCAGCTAAAAGGCTACAGCACTCTCCTCCCAGTCCCACCCTGCTAAAGAGGGCCTGGAAAAGTTCCCCCACACATCAAAGTGATTTTTCATTTATGAGCTTTTATGACCTTGTTAATCAGGATAGTTGATTTGCTGCTGCACATAAACCGTCAGTCAGAAGCTCTGCTAGCCGGTTATCTTAGAGGAGCTAGTTCAATTTGTTAGCTTGTTATCAGAATCATAGTTGCAGTTTCATCATCTGAGCTGCTTTTTAAGATCTAGGTAAACTTCTTCAATTTGGGGTTAAAAACAAACGTTTTCACATTTTTTCCATGTAGTTTTTTTGCCAGTTCCTCTTCTGAAAGGTAGACAAATGTTTTTCTCTTTCCCTCAGAAAATCCTAATATTCTCCTAGTTTGGCCCAGCACAGTTCACTTCCCAGTTACAGCAACAGCCTTATATCATAACCACATAAGTGGAGAAAATGTTCAGTAGCAATGAGAGAATTTGCTGTTGCATTTAAGTGATGTTAACTATTATTTAACATTTAAACTTATTTTCAGATGTTTTTATTTATTCTAAAAACCCTGGTAAGGGATGTTTTTCTGTATTTGAAGCATCAGAAAAAGTTTTATGGTGGTGGTGATGTTTTAAAGTCACTGAGAAACTGCATGCATGCAGTTTGTTGTTTTGCTGCTAATACAGTAGCAGGTGCAGCTGCATATTTTTGCAATAAAAATGTTATGTTGTAATGGAATTCATGCATTAGTTTTTGTTTGCTTTGAACCCAGAGCAGACGTCACACGTCAGACGACACCAACACTGCATACTTAAGTATTTGTTAATTTATCGTGAGTAATATCGATATCGCAATATTAAGCACTGTTATCGAATATCGCAGGTTTTCCTAATATCGTGCAGCCCTAATTAAAACTAGATAAATTGTATTTCTTGCAGAAATGCTGTTTGAATGCTGGATAGCTTAAACTGTTAGCTAAATCAGCTTAATAGCTGAACTGAAGCTGAAACTAAGCAAAACTGTCAAAATGAGCTGAATGTATTAAAAGATGTAGAAGCAAAAAGCACCAACCAAGTAAACTACAAAAAGTAAGTGAATAATAGAGAAAAATAATCCTAAACAGCAGAAAACTGAAATCTGTGAACATTGTATAAAAACTAGACAGCTAAAATGTCTAAACATCTGTTCAGTAGGACAAGTTTAACTGTTTAATATTTACATTTAGCTGAACTGTGAAATTAGCAGCATATGCTAAACTTGGAAACGGATTGCTGAAGCTGCTGAATAGCTGAAACTAAGTTAAACTGTCAAAATGAGCAAATCACCAACAAGTGTAATAAAGCTCGATCCAGCTTGGACAGAAAATGGTTGAACACTCTCAACCAATCAGAGAGCAGCTCTGACCCCCCCTCAGGACAATGCCAGAAATGGAGCAAAGGAGGGTCATTGCTCATATCTCTGCCCATTATAATTTTTGAGATTTTTTTCTGAAAATCTGAAGCCGTACCTCAACTTCTACCTGTGATTTTAGAAAAACTGTAATAGATATCAAAAAGGTTTTTAAACCAGTAATAGCTGAAAGTCTTGTGAGTTTGTTGAAACTTGAATGAAGTCTCTAGGTTAAAGTTAATCTATAAGAGTAAGAGTTCAAAAAAGTGACAGGATTTAGCTTAAAATTGAGCAATCCCATTCATTTCAATGGGACCAAAAATCGCAGAAAAAGCTGAATATCTCAAAAAGTATAAAATATTTTAATACCAAAAGTCATTGCCGGCATACGCTGAACGAGCTGAACGTTTTGATACCAAAATTGTGTAAATAGTTGAAGAATTGTGGAAGTAGTTAAATGCCAAAAAACATACGGAAGCAGAATAAAAAACCGACTTAACTATAAAGAGAAACATGATCACTATAGTTTGAATGCTTTACAGCATTCAAACAATGAGCCAAATAATCTGGTGTTTGTTAGAGATTAAAACCCTCGTCAGAGCTGAGAGGAGTCTGACCCAACGGCTGAACGCGATCAACGACGTTTCTTTAGTTACAAGTCACCTGTAGGTGATGAAGACTGGTCACACAATTCTGTTAAAGCAACTGAACAAACATTTTAAAGTGTCTGCTTCACTTGGGGCCGGGGCATAGCTCAAGTCTTCCTTTACAGAAACACATTCATCACACGAAGGTTGTGATGGCAACAAGTCAGCTTTCAGTCAAAACGAGCTGTGTTCATGAGAGAGTTTCCAAAAGGTCCCGAAACATTTGCGAGGGTCTCTTGGTCACATTGCTTAGATCTTGCAGGAGTGTTGGAAAAATTGCAAAGTGAAATTCACACAAAGTTTAGAAGTTTTATTGTTTTGTTGGGAAAAGTGTGAGTTGCAAACAAGCAGAGACATAATTAAAGAGCAAGTCACCCCCAAATCAACATTTGTTTCTGATAAACGATATAAATGTGTGTCTAATCGTGCTGCAGACACGTGTAGTCAATAGTTTTGTACTTTAGTGGATTTTAGTTCAAATTTGAATTATCTGCCTAAAACTGTCAGTGTTGTGTCATTGTCAGGTAAAAACTGCACTGCATTTGAATTTAAATCTTCCATCGCTATTGGCTAAGAGGTACCCTAGAACATTAGCTGGTACCATATGATGTCACAATATCGTTGTGAGCCTGTGTGTGTGTGTGTATTTGTTAGCGGCTCCGCCCTCTCGGTCTGCTAGGCAACAGCGTTTGTGGCATTTTTAAAACAGGAAGTGGGAGTTGAGTAAGAATCTGGTAGGGGGTGACTTGTTCTTTAAGTAAATTAAGTTCAGACGTGCACTAAAGTTTTGAATCAGGTAATCGGGATTCTTTTTTCCTTTTTTTTTTAGCTAACTAGCCGCCAACAGTCACTGAGTTTTGAACAAAGTGGACAAACTCAAAGTATAGAATCCACCAGTTTAGTGACAATGTTTTCCATTAAAGGTGACATGTTACTACCTTTTTTCTTGTAATATTCTTACGGTCGATACCAAACGTGGTTACGATGTTCTTGGCTTCTGAATCCATCTCGCTTAAAAAATTTTAGCAGTTTTGTTCATGGCATTTTCAGAACCTTCCAGAATGAGCCATTTCTCCGCTCAGTCCCATACAAGCTGGAGCTGGCCACGCCCACCCACCCTACTTTCAGGCTGCTATGAGCTGAGAAGCTCCGATATCCAGTCAAGCCGCAGCTCCTCTTGCAGCAGCTCTCTCCTTCATGTGACAGATAGCTCTATTTGTGACATCACAAACAGGGTCTGTATCAAATGGCTCATTTTAGGCACACATTGCTTGTTGGATGGATAATTTTCATGTCTGGAGGTTTTACAGAGGCAGTAGACACCAAACATGGCAGCACAGCAGGATTCAAAATTCAATACAATTTAATTCAAAAATACTTTATTAATCCCAGAGGGAAATTAGAGTTTCAGTACACACAATTCTGAGATCAGACATACATACATAGACACATGACAAGAATTTGTGACTGTGGTCTTTTGCAACCCGAGTCACGCTACCGTAATAGATCAAGAGGGTTTATATGAGGATAGAGTCAGGGGGAGAGGAAAAAAGGCACTTCAGAGTTACCCTCAACAGAGAGGGCAGCTTTGCTACACACGAAAAACCCACCTCAGACAGATATGCACACAGACTTCAGACATTACACATCATAAGTGTCCACTAGGTGGGGAGGTAGGGTTGGGACTGTCCTCACTTCAGTGCGTGCAGCCGCATGGAGCAGCTTTCATCACCTCCATTTGGACCGGGGAGGGAGATAATGGGTTAGAGAGCACAGTGACTCCTATATACGGTTCCACGGCCTTCACCGGTCACAGTCCCGCCCAGGCTGGGATAGGGAGACAGAGTTTCCATAGCGACGGCAGCGTTCCACATTTCTTCTGAGGTGGAGTAATTACTTCAGCCTCACAGGCTCCAAGGGCACCAGATTCAGATAAGAATTGTTTTGGGGCCAGACAGAGATAATTTCCTCTCTGCCTTAGAGTTCTGTTGGTCTTCAACCCCTCTAAGCCAATAATGGCGTAAATTAATCTATCCAAATCCGTGC